AGGGTTCAAGGATTACCTACATGGACCAATGGATGCAGGGACAAGGCTTGAGGTCGAATTCACGACCGGGGACATAGGCCTTCGAGAACGTCGACGAAGACATAGGACGGTAGACGAGGAAGACGACGAGTTCAAATGTGNTTTCCGAGAGAGAAGAACAGAATCTAAGGAAAGAATCCAAGGATAAGGAGGGTCTAGAAGTGTTCGGAATGTTGAAGGAAGGAATAGGGTTCAAGGATTACCTACATGGACCAATGGATGCAGGGACAAGGCTTGAGGTCGAATTCACGACCGGGGACATAGGCCTTCGAGAACGTCGACGAAGACATAGGACGGTAGACGACGAAGACGACAAGTTCAAATGTGATTGCGGCTTCGAAGACGAAGACCGTGTTCATGTAGACGCGGAATGTCAGTTGTATAGAAGGAGAGGGTAGTGTGCATTACTGAGCTGGGAAAGGTAGAAGGGCGGTCCAGGGAGATGTTTGAGGCATGGAATAGAGAGGAGAGGACGGTAGCTGTGCTGGGGCATAGGAGGTGGGTTGAAAAGGCGGGAAGNTCAAATGTGATTGCGGCTTCGAAGACGAAGACCGTGTTCATGTAGACGCGGAATGTCAGTTGTATAGAAGGAGAGGGTAGTGTGCATTACTGAGCTGGGAAAGGTAGAAGGGCGGTCCAGGGAGATGTTTGAGGCATGGAATAGAGAGGAGAGGACGGTAGCTGTGCTGGGGAGTAGGAAGTGGTTTGAAAAGGCGGGAAGGGATATCGTTCGGATAGACAAACTCGGGAAGACATTTTGGAGCCACCTTTGGCAAAGTAGGAAGGAACGATTGGCCATCGGTGAACGATCCTGGGAACAATGCTCCGTCCTCTCGAGGACGCGTGGTCAATGGTCTAACACCGCTAAGACATGCAAAACATNAGTAGGAAGTGGTTTGAAAAGGCGGGAAGGGATATCGTTCGGATAGACAAACTCGGGAAGACATTTTGGAGCCACCTTTGGCAAAGTAGGAAGGAACGATTGGCCATCGGTGAACGATCCTGGGAACAATGCTCCGTCCTCTCGAGGACGCGTGGTCAATGGTCTAACCGCTAAGGCATGCAAAACATAAGAGTACGCCCCCCCCCCTCCCCCGGTAGGTGTCTCCCCTCCTGCGTAGTGACAGAGGAAAGACAAAAACAAAGAAACGATAGACTACTGCCAGACGAAGGGCTCGCACACAGGTCCCCTGCTCGGCGCTCCCTTATCCTTCCTACGAGATGTGACTGGTTTCCTGTATGCAGGCGGAAACCTGGCTAGGTTACAGGATTGAAAATCGAGGGGGTAGAGCAGGTAAATCGCATACCAAACGCACCCACCCTCTAATGGGAAACGAAGAACAACACTCGTGCGATCCAAGCGTTTGAGCAGGTTGAGGTAGTGACTGACGCATGTAGATGACTCGTAATCTAGGATCGATCAGCACCCTCGTGGCGCTCTTGGGCGCTCAACGGAGCACAAGCTTGGGGGTGAGGACACATTAGGCCGCAGTCCACAACTTCTCCAGCTTGACAGAAGCTGACATTGTTGAACTGACAACCAAACCAAACGAGAAAGGTGACGTCGACTGTGAAACAGTCAGGTTCCACGCCGTAAAATCGACTTGTCATCAAACAAAGGCACAGACCCTCGCCACGGGCGGAGAAGCGCTACATACGATCCTTTCCAGCGCCCACAAAAATAGGTTTAGGGGTTGTAGCGTCGAAATCCCTGTGAGGTGAGGAGCATCACAAGAGGCTGGTGATGAGACAGGGCGACAGCATGCCGTTCGAGCACTAAGCAGAGGAGCACCCTGCTCTCCGAACTCGTAAATTCTAATCTCGTACAATCTCTGCATGAAGGGATCGGGTATTCCATTTTGTTCGCCGTTGATGGAATTTGTATTCCAAGACGGGGAGAGGTCTGCTCTATTGTCACAGTGGAATACTACATGTTGCGTTTAGAAGACAACGCAACTTACCGACATCATTTGCAGCCTTCAGCACGACGTATCTCTCTCAGCACTGCAGGAGCTCAGAACCTAGCAGGCGCAACTCCTGCCCGCGGCCGACGTCCGCGGCGACCGTGTTGGAGTACAGTTCAGCGTAGGAGTTGAAGCCCGCCCTGATAGATACTTAACGTAGCAGCGATGTGCATCACAAAGAAGCGTGCATTGGGGTAGGTTTCGCATGGTGACCTCCCACAGGGGATAGAACTTGCGGTGGATGGCAAGTGTAAACGAATAACCCACCTCTGACCCCCACCGTCCGTGACCCGACACCGTCCGTGCACGTTCATTTGTTGGCCGAACAGGCGGGAATATGGGAGGGTGGCAGTTAGGGGAGGCGTGTGCAGTTCCGCATCGTAACAACCGCGAATACTTCGCCTAGGAGGTCACCCAAGAACACCAAATCACATTCGACATGTGCGGACAGATAGGCGCTGTGCGTCTCACCTCAAAGTGCATTGTGCCATCGCGAAGTTCGTGAGCAGTGATGTAGAAATCACTGTTTTACCGCTTATCGAGGCAATCCATTCTGGTTCACCGTCTGCCCATGGCTAGAACGTGTGTGTCCTGAGTCTATCCTCTCCGAGGTCCTCGTGGTACGTCTGGAGATAGAAAAAAACTCTGCACTCTCCAACACACACCCTTAACGTGTTTCGCCGCGAACGATCAGCCTATGGTGTGGGCTACGGCGTCAGTTTCGCTAATGCACACTGACCGTCCGCAACAGGTCGGGAGGAAACCACACGCGAAGTATCGATGTACCAACAATGGCGCAATGTCTCCCGTAGAAGCGCGAGTTTGCGGAAAGGCGTCCTCGGGCGCGATACCCAGGCCTTCTAGCTCGCTGCCGCCGTAGAGGTCCAACAGGAAGTTGTACGAGGGCAAGGCAGCTCGAGCAGGCGGCGCTGGGTCTTGTTTGTCCTACGGCCATCCGGGTGCATCCGCATGTGGTCATGGCGGGCGAGGGAAGCGAAGAGCTCGACGATCTTTCGCAGGGTATACCCGATTCAGATTATACCCGTCTGCCTTGCACGACTTCATGATACTGCCTATTCTCTTGTACGTGGCACCGAAACCGTAGTCCACCACCATTTGCCACGCGCCTTGCGCTCGCTCGGCGATGAGGTTTCCATGCTAAGGTTGCCTGCGGTACCGGCTTCTAGCGCTCTACCAGTTGATTCATGATTTCGAGAACGTAAAATACTGATATTGACGTTCGGGAGATTGCAAAGCAAAACGGTTCCCGTCCAAATGACGACCTTTGTCCTACACATCGCGGCTTAGCTTTCCGTCTCCCTCGTGCTCCCTACTTTTGCAGCTGCTCTCGAGGGTGAGGGTGAGGACATCCTTAGAATCGCCGTCGGACAGCTTGTAGGGTCCGACACGTCGTGATTCACCAACACTGTGCAGCTAGTACTCGTGTCGAAGACATTGTGCGAAGTTGCCAGAGGGTTCACGGTTGCAAAAGCCAACATAATCCACGTTAGGATGCTGAATCCTCTCCGCAGGGCTACTCTAGGCTCCGAAATTCACCAAGGGCCGATATTAGACAGAGAATTGGCACCCTTACTAGCCAAAATAAAGCCGGCGACTGCGGTTACACTTACTTGGAGAGCACCTACATTCGCCCCTCTTTTCAATGAGTTCTACGACAACATGCACGGCGTCAGGGAGCTCACGATTTCCTCCGAAATATGGGTCCCTCTACGCAAGTACATGTTCGGATGTTGTCGCCGAGTCACTTCCGTGTATTTCGGGTCGGGGGTGATTTCGATTCGCCATGGGCGGAGTGGTGTGGCCGGCCACGCTTGGGGAGATGTTGTTCGGAGGCGGCTGCGAGAGCCGATTCAACCAGTCACTCGAAGGTATCAGTTGGCCTCCTGGTTTAAGAAAGCTTTCCGTAGACAGCATTTTCGACAACTCCATTCAAGGTGTCATCTTCGGAGATTCCATCGAGGAAATTCGTCTAGGAGGACAGTTCAACCAGCCAATCGCTGCAGTACGGTGGCCCGTGGTTATCCAGCCGTTGACCGGCTGTCATTGGCCGGAGGCGTTGATCGCTCTGACGACCGGTGATGCGTTCGCCCAGAGCCTGCAAGGCGTTATTTGGCCTGTGTCGCTTCAGAATCTCACGTTCGGGTGTGCGTGGAACGGGGAACTGGGGGGTGCGGTACTCCCTGACACGCTCAAGGTTCTACGGTTGGGGGGGACTTTTGAAAGCCCAATAGCCGGCATTAAGTTGCCTGAGGGCCTGCAGGAGGTGTCGTTCGCCTTGCACTTCCAGGAGGTTGATGATGTTCGTTGGCCCAGGAACGTCCGTAGAGTGGTGCTCCAGGATCACTTGAACAAAATTATTTGGCCGAACGCGCTACGTGGCCGTTCACGCTAGAAGAATTTGAGATTGGGTCAGGCTGCTGGGCGCGTGTAAGCGACACCACTTGGCCTAACAGCCTCAAGAAGTTGGTGCTTGGGGGTACCTTCAACACGAAGGTTGACAGCTTGCAGTGGCCGCCTGGATTAGAGTCGCTTGCGGGAAATCATTCAATTAGGCGATTTCCACTCTCCAGTGGGACTGGGCTCCTACTCTGAAGGAGCTGTCGTTCGGCGCGAGTTTCAAAAAAAACTGTCAGGCGTACGTTGACCTGCAGCTATTGTCGAACTGAGGCTTGACGGAATGTCTGCGGGTGACGGTTTTACTGATGGTTGCCCGGGGCCAAGGTCGCAAAAGAGGGTGCAATTTTGAGTGGCATCTTTGACTCGTTGAAAGGAGAGACGCTTCAAGCGCCAAGAAATATGCGGGGAAGAGCCTGGTGGTGGCCATCACAATTTCTTCGTGACAGCGACTACAGTAGTCGAATGCGACTCGTCGTGGATTTGTGGCCCAGGGCACTCGAGCCCGCTCTGAGACGGTGGGTTGGGGAGATTTACGAATGGCGTCCCGTGCATGTTCCAACTCGGGAAGAGTTACCTGGTTTTCTTGGTGGGATTTCAGTCGTTCGTGTGGTGGCACGTTTTGTTCCTCGCAGTTGTTTGGCGTCCTCGATCGAAGTATGGATCGACTACTAACCATCATCGGGTCCACCTAGGTTTTCCTCACACAGGAAGTTACATCGTTGCGGCTGCTATGCTTCATTTACAGTGGTCGTTACTTGTTGTCATGTTCTCGGCTTCCACCGTGTATTGGCAAAGGGCGTGTGAGCGTGTGTGTGTATTGGGTGAGATGCTTCAAGGTGACGACAACCGCGTGCGTACACCACCATTTTGCACGGCCTTGCCAAGTGTGTCTTTTGTTTTCGTCCTATTTGTTATGGCGAAAGTCCCCCCATTGTTCGTCGTGAGACGTCTACTACACCTTTCAGCGTATGTAGAATTTGATGATATAAAGTATGTACATATAGAATATATGTACATATCCGTCCCAAATGTTGGAAGTCCAATCTTCTTTTTTGAGGTAGATGTTGCTCATCGCTGCTTCTCATAATACGCGTTACCCATCTATGGCAAAGAAATATTGTACGTACCTCATAGACATACTGTTTGTTTGTTGGGATCTTGACATTGAACGTTGGAATGCGAGGTTGCTCTCGTCGAGTGGTAAGATATCGTTTGTTGTGATTGAGCACATCATGCAATGCGCTGGTTGAAAACCTCTGTCAAGAGTCACGCTCGATACTCGAACGCGCCCCTGCCCCACCCATAGTATTTGCTACGGATCCCCCTCGAGAACAATAGGACCGCGCAGTTCCAACCATCGCTGTGAACCCTTATCATCACTCCAAGCGCGTGTGTGTTTCGTTCGATGCGGGATCACCACAGGCGCGGGATACAGCGCCAGAGGCGTAGATTGTGACGGGGACACCATACACAAGATAACGCTCCGGCTGACCTTGTTGGGCTGAAGGGACGTCAAACTGTACTCGGGAAGCATACGGGTGTTCCGATTCATGCCTCGTGGCTTGCATATAGGTTTGTGCCCCAGCTGGGGCCGACCCGGTACCCGCTACCGGTTACCCGGTTCTGGGAGTACCCGACCGGTTCCGGTTTGACCTGTCTTGCAGCCGGGTATTTGGTTTTTTTACACAGCCCGCCGAGCTAGGGGTACATGGTGATATCCACACACGGCGCCCGCATACGGGTACCCAGTTCCCGATTTTCCAGCCGGGGCCGAACCCTATTATTGTACCTTGCTCCCAGCCACATTTAGTTTCCTTCGCAGCTCCGTAGCAAAAGGATTCGTCATCTCTAACACACGTTGATGCTTCCTATTGCCAAGGCATGACGTTGCAAGAGTCTCAGGCATTTTCAAGATGTTCTCCACGAAGGTACAAGCCCTCTTGAACGGGTCCTCATTGATTCCTATCCCGGTACAATTCAATTCCCTCCGACTCATGAAGGTTTCCCTCTTTCCAACAGCCAATGCTTCGCCCCAGCGTTTTTTTTTCTTCAATGCTTGCGAGACAGACCGCTTGCCGCGGTTTGGTTCGCCGGGACGGCGTTCTTCGTAGGGCTGAGGAGGAGGGCGTCGATCCTGCTCGGCAGGGCGCTGCGGGGAGGGGACAGGGGGGAAGGGGTGGGCAGATGCTGCCCGGCCCTAGCGGCGATGCTTCCCGCTCGCTCAACCTCACAGCCGGCGCTGCTGACTCGCAGGCCGTAGTGATTAAACTCTCAATCATCTCATCTTAGACCACGGTCGACACAATGAATTGCTGACGGGTTGGGAAGGCAGGCGTAGTTGTGGCACTGCTTTTTGTGGTTGGGACCGAACCAACCGGTAGGTAGTGGTGCCTATCCAGTCGAGGTTGCACGCAGGTAAAACAAGGCCGAAATGGGGTGCGGCGGAGACGTTAGTTCTGGGAGGAGGCGGTGCTTAAGAAAATCTCCCATCGTCTCTCTCTTTGTTAATGTTGGGAAGGATGGGGTACGGGCAAAGACGGGATGGGGCATGGTAAAGTTAGTCGTCCCTTTCTTGTTTGTCACTGTAGAGTTAGTTTAGATATAGGCTTGATTGAGCGTGCAGGGCGAGCTCTCCTGGTCGGCCTTGCTTGAATGTGTCATGGGATCGTTTGTCGTTTGTTTTGGGTGATGTTTCGAGCGGGTATATACTCTGACTTGTTGTATAGGATAGTCGGCAGCTGCAACGAGAGACCAAACAGGATTGACGAGAACGGGGGGGGGGGGAGGGTCACCTCCGAGAGGAGGAGTGTGGTATCAGTTGAGGTTCCGTTCCACGTCTTGCGTGGTGCCGAAGTGTCGATGTATCACCACACCTAGGCCTGCCGACCGTTCCGGCGAGTGGCGAATAATAGGCGTGGCGGGGTTAGTTTAAACAGGGCAGGAGCGATGTGTACTCGCCCCTTCCCTCCCGTTCTTGTCCGTAGTGTGATCTCCAAAAAACTCGCGGCGTGGAGCTTGTCGGTGGAGAAACCAGTGATAGAACACCCCCCTCAGGTTTGTTCAGCGGTACGAGTGAGTGCAGCTTGATTTGGTCCCCGCGGCACATTTACATGGTGCTTCCTTTCCGGTGGAGTGCCTCCGGTCTCCCGGGTAGAGTTTGCCCTGCATTGTCTACCTCGCTGTATTTCATAGATCGGAGGGGACATGTACATACAGCTTTTCACTAGGTGCTTGCGCGTTGGACAGCCTTGCTTGGTTTTTTCTGATTTGCCTTCGTCGTGCGTTGTTGTCCTAACTTGCGTGGGTAAGGTGCGTGTTCTTCACACCTGTGACGACCAGGTTGGTATTCGCTATGACCGACTAGACTTGTCCCGACGGTGGCGGTACGGAATGAAAGTCAAATCAAGAGTTGTCGACATCATTGCGTAAACTGCGCCTGTGAATCCTCCCACGTGTGGTTCATGCAGAGCATGCAGAGGGTTTCCCTGCTCCGCACGGTTTCTTCATGTTTTTTTGTAGCCCGTCGATGTAGCACGCAGACGCATTGTTGCCAAGTTCCTGTGTATTTTGCCGCGAGTCGGCCCACAGGGGACAACGAAAACAATATTACGGACCCGTGGAACGCGTGCATCATTTGCCCTGCCTCGGCATCAGCAGAAGTCCTGTTGCATCTCTCATGAGCCCCCTCAACAAGATGATGCCTTGCAAACTCGACGACCTTGCTCAGGGACGTGCCGTCGCTTGTTCGGGACAAGCTATCCCATTCTATGCTTTTCTCAAACCCTCGTCGGTTCTCTCGCCGTTGGCCACGCGCAAGCTCTCTGTACTTACTCGTTGAATGGAGCATGGTTCTGAATCCTCTGACAGAAATCGGACGCTCGCTACAGGGTTGGCTTGTTCTCACACATCACGAGGCGGTGTCGACAATCCTCGGCGGGAAAAGCGAGAACCGCTCAATCGGTAACCAAACCTTTACCGGGTACCACGTGCTGCCGTCGCGGTTTTGATTGGAAAATGTGTGCCCAAACAGCTGAACCTCTCTTTAATGCTTGGTGACACACGTGCTGGAGAAAAAAGTCGGGCTACAAAGAAACAGGCTCCAGCGTAATCGTGCGTTAATGGACCTGACCTAGAACTGCACTAGCAACTTGAACCTCGGCCTTTTTGTCAGTTGAAAGAACGGCAATTCCTCTCCGATTCTCAAGAGGGCGGGCACTGGCACTGGCTGTGGTCTTGGTTGTTGATGCGCTGTCGTTGTTCTCTCCGAAGTAGAAAGGGCTCTCTCCAGCAGGTCTTGCTCCATTTCTCTTCAACAGCGGGAAGCGACTATCCCCGGTCGAACACACGCTGAAAAAAGGGCAGAAGGAACAAAATAACGGAGACCTACATGTGCTCTGCCACAAAGAGAACTTCATTCTATCAACATGAAGTGCCCACGTGTGTGGAGCAGAGGAAGAACAAACATGCCGCGCCCGAAATGCAGTCCCACAAAAAGAAGAAGCTGAAAGCCTTCCATCGCTCTGGCTGGGATCCTACGTCTTGGCCCCTACCGACGCTGCAGGAGCACCACGACCACCACAAACAACTTGCTACACCGCTCGCAACCCTATCACGCCGAGGGTCGGTCATCGTCAGGTTTCTCCAGTCGATCAGGTGGGCTCCTCTCCGCACCCCGGAGTATTTGGAAGAAGAGCTTCACATGCAATCTCTCACAAAAAAACAGAAATCGACGACACCCTCGAAGCTCCTAACAACAGTCTGATGGGTCAAATCATTCCTTTCCACCCCTCCAAACTACATGACACCAAAAAAAGCCTATACAATCCAACTTAAAAAAGAAGACCCGCACGTACAAACGCACCCGCCTTGGTGCAGAAAATTGTAACGAAGGGCATGCCGGCTTCATCCGCCAAAGAACGTGCTGCGGAGGGTTACCCTGGACAAGACCGAGCCCCGCCACGCCGTGCGCCTTGTTGTACAACGTCTTTCTTCCAAGAGACACAGAGCTCTGACGTTTCGACTTCCCCTACCCTTGCATCTATCTCTCACTTTCGGGATCCTTTCCAACATCGCAAGGTCCTGGACCCTGCTACGCCATGCTACTGTGTGCGTGCTCAAGTCGAGCCTCCACTTTTACTGACCCCTCTCCAATCTCCCCCTACAACCGCAGAGGATTCTGTGTTCTCCATTGCACTTCTTAGCGCTCGTGCTTTGTACAAAAATTCTGGTACATTCGCCTGTGGTGAGTGCATGTTCAAGAGACCACGAGCAATCAGCCGTGTCCCAACCGTTTGGTCCATCCACCTCCCCCCCGTGCCCCCCTGTTGAAAACCTTGCTCGCATATCCTGAGGACCTATTTTTTGACCAGTTATCTGATACTAGATATGAACAGCTCTACCCAAATCCCGAATTTCATACTAACAATTTTCGACGAGCATCGACGAAAAAAACATGGCCCACAAACCGAATCTGGTCGGGTTTTTGTTGCTCGTTGTCCTGCGATAACCACCACCAGCACGATTTTCCTATGGAGCGCGGCACGCGACTCCCCCTCGTATGCATAGTTCCGAGAGTCGAGGTTTACCGACTAAAGCAAAAAATCAAACCTGAGTAAGATATTCCACATGTTTTCAAAATCCCACATCGTCTCCCAGTCTTCAAATCAAGATTGGCCCAAAAAAGAATTGAACTAAATATTTCGCGTGCCTGTTTTTCCTGGCAAAGTTATAGTTCGAAACCTGTGTCGTCTGCCTCGACGCGGGGATCACTTGTAGAACGGGTGGACTCCCGCCTAGTTTGAAAATATGGTCTTGAAAGTTATGGCCAGATGATCAACCCTTGGAACTGACGTCCTGGACGGACCATAAGCCCCCTCTCCCTAGCCCATAGACGGACGAGTATTGCAGTTCCTCTCACCCACATCGCAGCAACCCGCAAGGTGCGAAACACCTGTCGCGAGAGCCGACGAGAAGCACGACCGGGCACGAGGGAAAGCGGGGCGGGAGAACAATATTTTCAGGGGTGTTCACCACACCATATTGAACCGCACTGTCCGCAGTGCCATTTTTTGTATTGTATCTCATGGTCACGGTACGGTGTGGTGCCGTGCGTTTTTTTTTGTCTCGAAATGGGAAGGAACCGCACCGCACCGTGACATTCCCAGATGAAAAAAACCGCACCGTGAACATCCCTGGACTTACGTACCTTGGGCCGGCGCGAAAACAAGTGTTGAACGATTTGGCCGTTACACCATTCGAGAAATCGAACAGAAGCCTCACGCGAGCAAAGAGACGCGACGGGGCCCTGCCTGTGTGAACGTGGCAACAAGGCCACAAGACAAAAAGATAACAACTTTCCGCCAATGCAACATTTGGACAAGCTCCAGTAAAAAAAGCTGGGTCGCACGAGGGCGCCACACTCTTTCTTCTCACCACAAACAGTGAGACCATGTAACAGATGCATGCGAAGCCGAGGAAGCTGGAGTCGTCCCTTTCGTCTCCGAGGCAGTCGGCGTCCCCGGGATCGCATGCCTTGCCTGGTGACGTCATCATCATCATATCCGCGTTCATCATGCCACATGAGCATCATCTCACTCGACGGTTTTTTCAAGCACTTGACATGTGGTCATCGGAGCGCGGCTCTTTGAGAGGGGCGTATCACGCGAGGCGTGTTGTTGGGGACACTGGCTAGTGCGCTTGTGTTTCCGGTTTGCCCAATTTCACTCAATGTCACTGCGTGTCAGCGTTCACAACCAGCCGGCACTGATGCCTGCCTGCACAGGTGAAGGTCGACTCCCCTTCCCCAAAATGTCGGATGCCCGCACCCCCTTGTGGAGGCCTTGTCAAGGTCGACCTCCTTGGAAATCACAACCAAGGCCTCGAAAATACCTCGTTCCCCCCTTTCGTGGCCTTGGTTGTGATTTCCAAGGAGGTCGACCTAGACAAGGTCTCCACAAGCGGGCGCCGGCATCCGGCATATTCGGAAAGGGGAGATGGACCTCCACCTGTGATGCGACTGCACGGGAGGTCGGACATAACGGAAAATGACGCCCGTTCCTCGACCAAAGGACGGACGGCGGCCAGAGCTATGCCTCGAGGTATAGACAACGCTCAACAACACAACAAATCCAGCGTGAGTTAGAGACTTTATTCGTCACGATGATATGCTCAGCCGCGAGACGAACACGACATGACGAAATACCTATTTAGTCGGTTACGCAGTCGGGAGCTTTCATCTCCCGGTGGGTCAACGACTGAAGAAAGGCTTCCATCTCGGGCGAACGCAGCAGCAAGGGACAGGGCTCCCCCCCGAGCCAAAACACGATGACAATCCAACGAGCGTCTGCTCGTTGTGGAGCCTACCTGAGCGGAGACCGGCGTTGCCGCTAGTAGTCTGCGCCGAAATGCTGCCGGTTGTGTCGGCAGAAGCAACCGACCCCGCCAAGACAACCACCAGCGAAAACATGGCCCCTAGGGGAAGACTGCCGTGACACAGAACACTTATGGGGGCATGGCGGAGGGCAGGTTGGAACTACACGTATGTATGTACGCCAGGGCACCCATGTCATATTTTACGTAGAGACTACGCTGAAACACGCACCGACGGTAAACGTTCATTAACAGCGGCAGTATGTTTGCTTCGCGAGCGTGCTCGGGATCCGTGCTCATGACCCCGGCCGCTGGTGGTGAGACGTGCACATGCAAATGCGACTGCTTGCACGCGGGTGTTCTGGTGGTTGGTGGGATATATACATGTGATGTCACTACTTGCGCGCCTACCGTTCGACACGAAACTACCGAGGGATGATCGAAAACAAGTTGCGTTTTCATTATGGAAAGTGGTAGATCTGGATCAGCTTACCACTAAAATAACGTACTAAATCGAAGGCATGATATCGTCTTTCTTACCCGCAAAGAGGCGCGTATCTCACAGGGTTCATGGCTGCAGCGTATGAATCTCGTACCGTGTCCACGCAACAAGCACACCTGGGGCAACCAATGGTGGGGGAGACGGCGGTGCCCCGCGATTTGGGCGTTCGGCAGCATGGATGGCCGGTTTCAAGGACAATCGAACGGACCGAAAAAAGAATGAGGACGAAAGCCTCATCATCGGGCACCCCCCGACTTAAAAACGGTTTTTTACAGTAGTTCGAAACACGGGCTTCTGCCGCAAAGCGCACGGGGACGGCCCTTCATCATCACACTCCCGCATCAAGGTTGCCAACGCCGCGGACGAAAACAGACAACATGCAGTGCAATGGAAATGGTTGCTTGTGTTACATGTAACGTTTCATATACATTTTTCTGTTTCAGTTGTTGGGGTGCAATTATCATGAATTTGAGAATCACTTCCTTTTGTGCGTGCAGTTTCCCTGCCGTTGGTTGGCCCTGCGAAGACGCCCAACTTCCTTCGTTTGGGTGGTTGCAGGTTGAGGTTCAAAATGCTCAGTTACGCGTGTACCGGAGGTCAACCGCCCTTTACCGGGACCATCAACTCGTACTACACCACATACTAGAGATAACGGTTACAAGGCCTCATGGTTCCACTTGTCAAGTGCTCTCGACCATATCGGTGTTGCTTGAGAGGGGGAAACCTAGGTGATGGACCACTCCCGCCTGTCCTCAAACCCCCTTCCCAGGCTGCTCCGTCTCCACATCAAGTTTAGAATCGGTGTATCGGCACCACTTTTGTTGTTGCGCCTCAAGTGCCCAAACGCTGACACCATATTCCACGCGAATGTGGGGAACAAAGGACCGTGCGCCGCCCCACCCCGTTTTATCCTCGGCCTGTTCTTTACTCCCACCCAGTGACCCCAAGGAACCACCCAAGGGTGCAGATTCCTAGAGACCTAAGACCCAAAGTGAACTTTGCTTGGCTGGAACAGAGGAAATGCAGCCGCAGCGTAGAGTAATACATGCATTAACAAGGTCTTTTGTAGGCTGGAACAGAGAGGAAGTGAAGTCGGAGCGCCTGTACACCCAAGCACCGATAGCAGTATAACCCGTCCATGTCATGTTGTTGTACTCTGTTATTGTCTCGCGTTGGGAGATATTAGCAGTTTCTGATACAACAAGAGGCCCCTTGCGTAAACTATGTACACTCTTGCCTCGCGCTGCCATACGTGCAGACGAGCTGTGTGTGTTGCCGTCAACCATACATCTTGCCGCCCCCACTTAACCCCCAATGTCCGTCTCCGTTTTGGGCGGGATGTATCCTAATGGAGAATAATAACGCACCACCTTTCGTCCCACACCTGAAAGGCGGCACTCTTGCCCTTGTGTGGGGAATCTGACGTACCAAGCTAGTGCTCGGGACAATAAAACCCATAGCTGACAGAGTCGAGCCGTGCTTGGGGCGCGATGCCCCTCATCGCCGGCCCGGCAGAGAGAAAGAGAGACAGCACGAGCGGGTGACGAGATGACCCCCTCGCTCTTCAAAAAAACATTCAGCCTCGGTAAACCAGCCTATCTACGCCGCGACCGATGCAAATATTGAGAAGGCAGGCTTGGACGGGTTACAAGCGCTCTACTCCTCGTTGCCCCCCTTTCCCTTCTCGTCCATTTTGCCCTGGGCGACCTCTCTCGTTGTTCCAAATCACGTTGCCGCTGAAACTAATCCCTGGGTAAAATTGCCGTCTTCAGACCGGCTGGTGGTGGCTGCATACCTGCGCTTTGCACTTGTCGTACCCCGCCCGTCGTCGCCACAGGAACTAAAGTCTTAATTGCTCTCCCTCCCTGATGCTGCAGAGTTCTTTGCAAAGGAGGCGCCCTTTGCTCCCCACACCCTCTCGCTCTCGGGCGTTTTTGCGTTGTGTATGTTGGCAGGCGGTGCGGTGTGTGTGTGTTTCCTCCTTAAAAAAAAATGAAACGAATCGAACCTCTATTGCGAGGATTGTTCTGAACTTGAGATGAGAGTATAGACTATACCGTATGTCCTTGAGTACAGCACGGTACGTAGTGGGCGAGAGACTGGCACATAAGATATCACCCCCCCTGGACCTATAATGTAAGATCCTCGATTACTCCAACAGCAAGAGTGGTGTTGTGGTGCCGAAAAAGACCACGCTAAAGCCGCCTCAACTACAGTAGGACGTTCTGGATCAGCACCACGGAGTATTTGATGCCCTACTCTTCGTAGAGTAGTCGAGCATTAAACATGATGAGTAGGGGGGTGTTATCTTACATCACCATACGGCAGCAAAATGAGCGCACCTTCTTTTCTTGGCCCTGCGGTGATGTCATAATTTCACAGGTGTGATACACACTACAGAGACCCCCAGCGCCAGAGCGCGGAGAACACCATCTAGAGGAGGGCTACAGTATAGCCTGGACCCCGAAGCACCACAGCAAACGACCCCGATCGATCCCTGTCAACAGAGGTATGCAACACCTGGCAGCAACTAGTGCAGCAAGAGGAGATCATGTGCCTGCCGTGTTTCCCGGGGAGTAGAATAATCTGTGTGCATGCCTACTGCCGCCAATTTGTCAAGATTCCAAGATAGAACAACAGAATCAGGCGGAGAGCGATGTTGCAGCGAGAAAGGGCACATACGAGAGGCACCTGCAGCAGTAGTGGTTGGCGAGTCATGTCTCTAGACTTAACGTACAGCGGTGAGTGCATGCATCAAGGGTCGGACCTACGGAGTACTTGCGCTGTTCTGATGCTCTTGCTGCTGGAAATCTACGGTACAACTACAGCAGTACCGCCGTATGCATATGCTGACTGCTGTTGTTCTGTTCGGCCCGGGATAAATTCTTCAAGTTGTGTGAAAACATAGGGCGGTGAAATCCACCCAGGTCCTGCTTGTAAGTCTATCCTCGATGCAGGTTTAGTCCCTGAGGCGCCGGCGGGTTTAATAGGCACATGTTTCCGTTTCATCGTCCGGTGAAACGGCCACCTCTCTCTCTCTTCTGCGGCGGTCAGATGTTCGGGCGCGCCCATTCTATTTGTGCACAGCGAAGCCGTCTCTACGTTGGTGCCGTGTGCCCACACCGACACCATTTCTGCTGCGGAATCACCCTCCTCCTTCCTGTTATTTCTCTGTGGAGCCGAACCAGCAGAAATAGCCGAGGTGTTTCGGACAGTCGTAATGTAGCACCTGGCCTGCAAGAAAAGAAATGCATGATTAGACTTACAGCAGCACACAGCGGAGATCGGTGTTTCCCAAGTTTCCAGTATCATTTTTTCCTTTGTACCGTTTCCGCGCGGCATCGCTCCTCCCTATGTGGGCAATACAACACCAGCACGGCTTTTGGCCAGAACTCTGGGCACAAGCCGATTCTCTCGCACGCGGGCGTCCGTCTTGTAGACCCGGCTTGTCTTCAAGATCAGCAGTAAAGTTCCTCCTGAAGTTTCGATGTCGGTCCGTCGGTCCGTCCACTGCTGCTGCCGTGAACATCGGCTTTTCCCCCGCTCGCTTTGTTCGATCTCCTCCTCTTCCCGTCTGTTTCCCCTTCCCAATCACTGTTTTCGCGTTGTGCATTGGACCAGAGCTGAAAAAGCTCTGAGAATGGGAGAACTGGTTCCTGTTCACTCACGTTGCACGTTATGTTAACGGGGTTGTGACGTGAGCCTCGTTTCACACCGGGTGTGATGAAAAGAAGAAACTGCCGCCTGGCTCTCCCGTGCCATCATCTAGCTGCAGGTCGGTGGTGAAGTTCACCGATGATCCCAGATGTCCCCCACACTCTACCCCATGGCGCCCCCCTTCCCCCCGCCCTTCGCTTGCTGCTTGTGCCCGCGTGGGCGCAGAGAGGATACCGCACCCATCATGACCGGATCATGGTGAGCAGCTTTTGCTTCACTACCCTGAGTTTTTGTAATGTGCCTCTTGTCGTCCCCTGATCCTGCGCCGTCGACCGGTGGGCTCGGGATTTGGGCGTGCATGCATCGGATCGCGAGCCCGCCGGGGTTGACGGGATCTTCCCTGTAAGCCACCCACCTGAGTCCCACGACGCAAAGCTAGACGGAACGAGACTGCCGGCCCGCTGGTACATGAAGGAAAAGGGGTTTAGGCAGGGCTCAAAGCATGTCTCAACGATTGCAAATATGTTTGTGTAGTCTAGATAAGTCAAATCTTGAAAAAAAGCTACACTATGTACCCTACTTTGTGCGTTTTCTCAATTGGACGAAGGGCGGCGCAATCCGCGCGCGCGCGAGAGAGAGGAGCTCGGGTTGAAAGTCATCAGCGACAATTCCTTCAGCAAGGTGGGATACTTCCCTCCCGTTGGATACTTCCCTCCCTTCCGTCTCATACATCCATATATCGAACATTACTTACTGTGAACACCGCCCAACGCTCTCGTATCTTCGATTGATTCCGCCTGCCGTCGCCCGTCCCGAATTTTCCCTTTGTGTCTGCGAAGTCTGATGACGAATGCGTCGACCTCTTTACCCCGCCGGCGTTTCCCCCACTAGGTCCGAACGCGGCATCTGACTCCAAATGGTGCAGCGACATGACGCCTCATCTTTCATGTTCGTTGTCAGCCAGTGCCGTCGCTATACCGCGATACGGTCTGTTCGTGGGTCTGCGAACATTGGTGTTGGATACATGCGCTGGATGATTTGGTGTCACGCAGACAAGTAAGATTGCCGTTTGGTAGGGGGCACCGCGATGATTCACGGGGCCCCTCCTTGCTGTGGGAGCCGCTCTTTGAGCACTCCCTCTTTCGTCCGTGTGAAGGACGGTCGTCGACCTCTCGTGAAGTTAATACATCATCAAGACAGTCCCACCCGATAAATAAGTGGCGTAGGCCGCAAAAACTCTAGAGTTGTTTTTTGCCCCTCGAGGAAAGCCACATTAGGATGAGCTCTGCTGGAGACGAAGAGCGCACTGCTGCGAGCGGAGAACAGATCTGCCCGCCGGTGCAGGAGGGCCGCGATGCGAAGCTTGCAAGTTTGCAACTGCAGATTTCGCAATTGGCGGCCCTGGTGGAGGAGTCGGTGAAGATGGAGCCTGGCAGCGTCGTGGCGGATGCAGCCAGTGGGGGCGGCTGGGTTGCTGCCCCCGAAAGCCAAGAGCCCCTGCAGCCGCACGGCGGAGGCGGGGGATTCCTCCAGCAGCAAGCGAGAGAATGTGGGCAAGGACCACGGCAGCTGCTGGAAGGCGGATGGGCCAGCAGATCGNGACAGTCCCACCCGATAAATAAGTGGCGTAGGCCGCAAAAACTCTAGAGTTGTTTTTTGCCCCTCGAGGAAAGCCACATTAGGATGAGCTCTGCTGGAGACGAAGAGCGCACTGCTGCGAGCGGAGAACAGATCTGCCCGCCGGTGCAGGAGGGCCGCGATGCGAAGCTTGCAAGTTTGCAACTGCAGATTTCGCAATTGGCGGCCCTGGTGGAGGAGTCGGTGAAGAAGGAGCCTGGCAGCGTCGTGGCGGATGCAGCCAGTGGGGGCGGCTGGGTTGCTGCCCCCGAAAGCCAAGAGCCCCTGCAGCCGCACGGCGGAGGCGGGGGATTCCTCCAGCAGCAAGCGAGAGAATGTGGGCAAGGACCACGGCAGCTGCTGGAAGGCGGCTGGGCCAGCAGATCGGGAGCGAACCCTGTTGGACCAGCCGGAGTGGGCCCGGGCATAGNCGAACCCTGTTGGACCAGCCGGAGTGAGCCCGGGCATAGGACCGGACTACGGGGAAGCGAGGGGGTTAAACCCCCCAGGTGAGATACCCGTGATTCGAGGAAATGGAGAATTCCTCGACGGCTACAGCAGTGGCCACATGAAGAGAGTAACAGTCAATGCCCCGTGTCTCGAAGGAGAGAGTCGCCGCCATGGGTATGACTCGTGGAAAAGATCGCTTATCCAAGCGGCCAAGACTGTAGGACTGGACGACCAATTGATCGGCAACAACGAGAGACATGCACCTGTCGGCAATCCAAACGTGCCAAGCTCGGAGCTGTACCGCCTCCAATACACCAGCGACGAGGTCCAGAGGGGCCTCCAAGCGTTCCATTTTGTGACCACTGCCATCGTCAGAGAAGCCGACAAGGCGATCGTGAACAAATGCGAGACCGCAAACGAGATCCTCGCGGAACTTGACAATATCTACGATCCGGAGTCGCAGGGCTCGAAACAAGCCCTCATGAAGCACATGTTTAACTTCACGATCCCCACACACAGCAGCAGAAACCCCATCGAGCACCTGTACTCGCTCGAGCTGCTGTACTCACGCCTACGCGAAAAAGGGCT